GCTTGAGTAGTTTATAATTTAACTAACGGATTGTCTTGAAGTATTTATTAAATTGTTTTGGTTTAGTTGCTATTGTGGTGTTTTAATTAAGGCTACAGCGCGCTAATGTTAATCAATTAATAGTTATTGCCTCTATTTTTTTTTCAAAAGAATACAAATTTTGAATTGCAAACGAATTAAATGTATGTACAAAGCCAGTTCTAAATTTATTTTGATGTGTTTTTCAAATTTACTAAATATCTACTGCAAAAAATATGCCAACTAATTGTGGAAAGTATCATCTAACTGCGCAATTAAAAAAGCTGAAAGGACTCGGTTCGTCGAAGGCTGCGCGGCGAATGAGTCCTTTCCAAACGGCTCGTAGTGCAGCGTAAATTGTAAAAGAATTATATAGTTAATGTACTTATACTATATGGATTGTATAAAATGCTACAAACAAAACAACTACTATGGGTGTGAATTGCAAACGCTAATGTGAGTGGGAGAAATTGTATGAAAAATATAGTGGAAGAGAAAAAGAAAGAATGTGAAATAATAAATGAGTGTAACTAACCAGCTGGTTAGTTGAAGTGAAATAGAAACGCATAAAGCAGAGAGAGAGAGTGTGTGAGATCAAAGAGAGTGTGAGAGAGAGAAGAGAGAGGGTAAAGGAAAGTACAAAGGATAATAGATAGGAAGTAAGAGAGTTGGAAGAAGAAAAGAAAAACAGAGATATTGAAATTTAAATTAGAAAGAATTAATAAAGCAAAAATCAGCTGAAAAAATAAGGATGTAAGAGTAAGAGAAGTAGAAATATTTAGTGTTGAAATAAAGAGAGAAAATATGATGTAGTATAAAAATATGAATTTATGAATTTTTTTTTTAATTTTTCTCTGTTACTACTTGTGCAAGAATGTATGATTTGGTGCAATTGAATTGATTGAAATTGAAACTGTTGCTACTTACTGGTATCAAAATTTGACGAATAGTATTGTTGATTGGTCGTTTTTTGGTCTTTAATTTGCAGAATAAGGCGGCGATTCTCCTTATCGTAGTTTTGAGTGAGGGCGCATTGCACTAATATGCAAGCGATGGCCTGCGGGTAGAGGAAGAAATTAGTTGAAATATGTAATTTGATTTAAATGCATACGAAAATAAAGTTAGGTTACATTAGATGTGGATAGTATAACTTATTTATAAATATATATGTATGGGAGATTCTGGAACATAAAAGGCTATAGTTAGCATTTCGGATGCTAAACCAACCAACACGTGAAATATTTATAGAAATGTGGCGTATTTGCCAGTAGTGACGGTTCCAATTTCGGTGGGACGTCGCCAACGTAGGACATACATATATACGAGAAATTGTATACACTCTCGTTTTCCTCTACATTGCATTCGACTGAACACCTATTCTTTTGACGTACATTCCAAATAAACTGGTGCCTGCTTGAAAAACGCTGCAGAGGTACTGCAAATTAAACAAGTAAGAAAGTCTAAGTTCGGGCGGAGCCGAACATTAAATACCCGGCGCAAGTATTAAATATATGTTTTCCTCCTTTCCGAAAGCTACCGCTACATGATAAGCCGGGGTGTATACATTTTAAGTAAATTAGCGTCCTTAAATTTCGAAATATTGAAATTTCAAGCATATCTGAAATTTACCGTTATATGAAAAGCGGCCTCAATTTTAGTCCGATTTCAACAATTTTCAACGGTTTGCTTTTATGTGGCAAGCACAATAACCATACCTAGCTTGGTACAAATTGCTAGAACGGTTAGCGAGATACATATATGTGATCACAAGTGGGCGGTACTACGCCCATTTTCCAAAATTTTGTCATAAACGTATTTCTTGGTAAAGAATTGTTGCAACCATCAATTTTGAATAAATTAGCTTCAATATTTACTGATTTATCGAAGATTTGGTATTTCTCGAAATTACCGTTATATGGGATGTGGGCGTGGTTATTTTCCGATTTTAGAAATTTTCGGCCATTTGCTATGCTGTACCAGGACCAACAACTGTGCCATGCTTGGAAGAAATTGGTGTAGCGGTTACGAAGATATACACATGTAACCATAAGTGGGCGTGGCTACGCCCATTTTTCAAAAATTTATAATATTCATGTTTTCCGTCTGAAACTCATTGTAGGTATCAATTTTGAGTGAATTATCTTCAGTAGTTACTAAAATATCGCAGTTTCCGTATTTCTTAAAATTACCGTTATATGGGAGGTAGGCGTGGTTATTGTCTGATTTCGCCCATTTTCAATACCATCCGTCCTACGCCCAAAAGAAGTTCACGTACCAAGTTTCGTTAAGATATCTCAATTTTTACTCGAGTTATCGTGTGCACAGACGGACGGACGGACAGACAGTCACCGCTTAATCGATTTCTCTTTTCATTCTGATCATTTATGTATACATTTGTCTATATCTATCTCGATTCGTTTTGCCTGTTACAAACAACCGTTATGTGAACAAAGTTAAATACCCTTGTGCACAAGTGCGCTCGGGTATAAAAAAAACTGAGGTGAAGTGAGAACTCTTGCGAGTATATCCCACTTTCCACCTTGAGACATAAGGTGGAGTCATCGGCCGATATAGCCGAATAATGACCGCTAATCAGAGCATACATTTAACACCAGGAGCTGTTTTCTATCGCTCATAGAGAGGTTTCTTTTGGGGAAATATTTCCTCAGGGCAGAAGCTTATACGGTATAGGTTTAGCACTTAATATTTGCTGAAAGGCCTACCATAATTCTGCATCAATGCATTTATTCTTACTTAATTGAGAACTTTTGTCGACGCTGAAGGTAAATCCAATTCGACCATCACTTACGCCACCTTTTAAACCTTCATTATCTTTTTTGTTACTTAAGACTTATTCAGGGATGGTCACCTGATGCCATTAAATAAAATATGACCTACAACCACTGACTTATAGGGGGATAAGGCAGTTGTTGTGGCCTTCTTGGCAGGCACCCCTACATTGCGCTGTCAGGTTAGGTTTTGGTCCATAATGAGGCCCAGTTATTTGACTTCCTCTGAGCGAGGCTGCATAGCATTTTTTTTAACGAGGCAGCTGGAGCTGGTCTACTTTCGATTTCTCTCAGTTCCGTTCCTCTAGACCAGGTCTCTACATCCTAAAAGGCGTTTTGTACTAGACCGCAGAAAACACTACCGTCAGCGAGAGATCATCAGCGTAGGAACCTGACTATCTGTATCTTGCAATTGTGACAGCAGCATATTCATCGTTAAATTTCTTAGAATAGGATAGAGGCCACCATCCAGCGGGGTGCCTAGTGTAGCGTACGTGGTTGCAGAAACCTACGCCATAATAAAAAACATGCATATCTACATATGTATATAGTTGCACCGTCTAAGAGGTAGCGAACAAATTCTCTTAGAGGGTGATCCCGCTCCAGGTGAGTCAGACCGTTAAAATTCGCCGTTGGCTGAAGACATCTTTGAGTACTCCTAGCACAAATTGCTTAGAGGCTAGTGGCTTTCCAATGTTAGTGATTATCTGACGAAGAGTTGTGTCACCACTTCAGCCGCTCCAGAAAACATACTAACTGCTAAGCAATTTATTAATATCAATTTTCTGTCGGATGTGCATACCCAGTAGTATTTCGGGCAAGAAATATGGCTTAAATTTCGTTTAGGTCTTCCTCTTCCAGTACCTGAGAACCGCGAAAACCCCCCCAATATGTATGTACACATAACTCATGAAATTTCACAACATTGTCTAAGAGAAATTTTACCCGAGTGTAATGTTAAAAAAAAAAATTACGCAACAAATACCGTTAACAAATCGTTCAAAATGCAATTAATATTAGAAAATGGTTTCACACTTTTTCCCAAACTAAATTACCAATATAAAGACGAGCCATGACTGAAGCCACCACACAGCCATGATGTTGGCTGACAGCTGCGTTGAATAGTTAGCTGATTCGTGTTGTTAAATAACTAATGGGTGTGTTGAACTTTTTGTAACCACTTTGAATGGATCTGTTTGAAAACAAAAAAAAACGAAAAATTCAAACACGTCAAATATGCGCAAAAGAAAAACGCCCACAATTGTAAAAGAAATATTACATGCAGACACACACAGACAGACGAAGGCAAAACCGCGAGTTTCTTATTAAAATGGAGCGCACATAAGCGGATGTGCGAAGCAAATAACAAATAAATATTTTTCTAGATGCTTTTATTGCAACACAAGGTAGCCCACTACTCGAACAAGATGTCAACTTGTCACTTGAAACGCGTCCGATTCAACTGTGCGCCTCAACGGTAAATGCAGGTTTTTTATATGTATTTACTAAGAGAAGATTTTGTTGGCAAAAAATTTTAAGAAATACTTAGTATTACTTGGCTGATTTAAAAAATAAATATGACGTAAGGATGAACGTGAATTCGAGCAGTTATTAAGTGTGTGTAGGTGTGTGTGTGTACGAAACATGCATACATGTGTACATAAAAATGTGTTGTGTACATATACATACACACACAATTCTTAAGCGGACTAAGGGAAGTCAGTTTAAGTTGAGAAGAACTATGAAATTTGTAAAGCAAAATTAAGCAGGTTTGGAAATGTTCAGCTTATTTGGTATTTTTGTGCTTATTAGGGCTACCAAGGACCTGAAAAGAAAAAAACTTATATATTTATGTAATTTGGAGCTACTAAATAAACACAATTGTTTTTTTATAATAAATGTTTAGTTGAGTAAATACTAAGGTATTTGGGAGTACTAAAATATTTCCCATATTTCTACAAACCAAAAAGGTACAAGAATAGAAAAAATTGTCGATATTTTTTTCTTCCTTCCTTGTTTTAGGGGTTGATAATATAATGAAATGCTTCCAGATTTTTAGCACGTTTCAAAACGTTTCAAGAGTTTCTTGAATTCTTTTGGAATTATTTTCTGAAACTTGTGAAATTTTTTTGGAAGTTTTCGGGATTTTCATGTTTTTTTTTTTTGGGATCCTCAGGATCTTTCGAAATATTAAAAAAAAAAAAGTCGAATCGTTGTCTGATTTGTCGTGACTCGTGTTTTGCTATTCAGAATTTTTTAAGAACTTTGGCATTTTACTAGAATATTTCTTTACTTCATCAGAACTTTTCGGTATTTTTTGGGAACTTTGACGTTTTTTTCGAAACCTTTCAAGATTTTCTTGGGTTTTTTTGGACTTTCTATGGCATTCTTTGTGTTTTACTTTGCAATTTTTTTAGAAAGTTTTAAAAATTTTAGAATTTTTTCTGACCTTATTTTGATTTGTAAATTTTTTCCAAGACTTTTCTTCACTTTTTCCGAACTTTTTCTATTCTTTGTGTTATAAATTTCGGCATATTTTGGTATTTTTCGGACATTTTCGGAGTTTCTCCGTGTTATATTTTTCGGCATTTTTCGAAACCTTTCAATATTTTTTCGTGTTTTACTTTCAGAACTTTCTGAGGACCTTGACAATTTTTTCGAGACTTTCCTTGAACATTTAAGGGCTTTTCGGAATTATTTATGTTCTATTTTTGGAACTTTCAAGGCTTATGTGGATTACTTTTGCATCCAGTATTTCTTTTTTTTTTTACTTGGCACTACAACCAACCATAGATTTGTGCCGATACCGATTTGGTGACCGATTTAGTGAAGCCAAAAGTACTAAATAAGTGAAAGCGTTAATAAGTTAAGGTTACTATTCCACTCAATATTTAGTACTGCGCAAATAATTAAAAAAAAAAAAAGTATTTAAAATACTCACAGCCGCCTAAAATACATAAAAACATAGCAGGTACTTAATTATTTACTACAACATAAATACCAAAGTAATTTTATACTTATGACTTAATACTTAGTAAATACGATTTTCCCCATCACGGATTTGTTCGTTTTAGTATACAATATTTTGTAGATCATCCGAAAATTAAGCAATATTTGATTTCTTGCTCTACCAAACTTGTTTTATATTTATGAAGAGTGAGCTGATGTTTAATGTATGTATGTGCGTTTGCTTATTCGTATGTCTGTGTTAGCGTATAAACTCACAAAAATGTTTGCAAATATATTCACACATACTCACATAAACGCCAAAGCTAAGCCCCTGGTGAAGAGCAAGATTTTTGCAAACAAGTTCAAATTGGATTTGCAGTTGAAATGCTACTGTTGCTAATTGCTGAAATTTTAAGCAAACTAGACGTTGGCTGTTAACAAAAAAATAGCATTTCAAGCGAGCAGTATGCAGTTTAGTAATGCAATTGCAAGCATTTTCATTTAATTCATTCTTTTTTTTTTTTTGTTTCTTAGTTCCTCGAAATTTACGCTTTTAAAGCCTACCAAAAACATTTTACCCATCCAAATATGCCTTTACACACATATTCAGATGTGCATGCACACATGCATATACAAACATATGTAGGTGCATTAAGGTGCCACACCAAAAAAAAATTGGAGGTTTTCCAACCTAATTAAAAAATTTAGTGTATTTCAAGACTTGTAAAAAAATATTTTAGCAAAAATATTAGGATTTTGGTGAGCTGGCCGATTCGAAAATATCTCCAAAAATCTCCCTATATTTAACATTTAAACATTTTTCTGCATACCTTTTAACCTTAAACTCTTCTATCATGCGAATGTTCGACTTTATCAATCCAGCTCACATTAATCTTAGTATTTTTCCAAAATATGTTGCCTTTCTATATAATAACTTTTATGATTTCGGTGGAAAAACAATCAATATTATTTTTTTTTTTTTATGGAGGGTAATGCACTCTAATGTTCATACACACGTTTGTATGGTTTTTATTACGGACTGCTTTTGGAATGGCAGCAATTAAAATCGAGTTATTGCGTTTAATGTTTATGGAAATTTTTGGTGATTGCAATGTTGGAATTTTTCATTTTCCTCTTCAATATCTTTGCATCTCGAGTACTTAACATCACTAAATTTTGATTTTTTTTTAATTTTTCTTTGTTTGTGTGCGTAGTTTGTGCATAAATAGCATCTTCGCATTGCATCAGTGTCTTTGCTTTTTGCGTAACTGCTGCTTAATGTCTGGTAAATCGGTTAATATTTCCAAATTAAGCTCTTAAAACGAATGACGTACTAATTGGGCAATGAATCTATGTCTATGTTTGTTAAGTTAAGCTTATTTTGCAACTGAGAACTGCTTGAATATTCTATATAGGAAACTGAGGCGGCGTGACAAATGATTTTTACACCGAAGCTGGTTCTTACAAGTTACGAAAAATTTTAATCTGGTAACATTGTTTTTAATGGTGACGAAGAATAACTCAGAAAAATAGGTTGACGGCAGAGCTCACGTGCCTTCGATTCACCAAATGAGTTTAAAAGCGCAATGAGGCTGCTTAGAAACAATAGGGCCTCCAAAGACGACGGTATAGCTTTTAAGCTCTAACGTGCAGGCAGCAATTCGGTCTGCTGAATTCAAATTCCTCGTCCTGCCCTTTCCTTTATATGTTTCATGAACGATGGCAAATAAAGATAAAAAAGGCTTTGAATGCTTTCGAGAGAGTAATTCTTCGCATATCCTCTTGTATATCAAAAATGTCTCTGCTGTCACCAAGAATTAGTTATTCATAATTAAACATTTTTAAGCAATTTAGGCAAATACATACATACCTTTGCAAAGTAAAACTATAGCTCAAAATTCAATTACTTAAAATTTATGACAACTAACTGTCTTTATCAGGCTTAATTAATGCCTTCTACCACATATCGATGGCTGAGTGGAAGATCGACCTATCTCGGCAGCCAGTTCGAAAACGCTCTATCTCAAAAAACTTTTCAAGAACGCCCTACTTCAGAATTTAATTGAAAAACACCGTATCTCAAAATTCGGTTCAAAAACGCCCTATCTCACTTCAGAATGTATTGAAAATATTCTGATATAGGGCGTTTTTAAATCGACAACTGAGATAGGGCGTCTTTGAAACGAGTTCTGAAATAGGGCGTTCTTGAAAAGTTTTTTGAGATAGAGCGTTTTCGAACTGGCGGCCGAGATAGGTCGATCTTCCACTCAGCCATCGATATGCTAAGCCTTGGCCTATCAACCGAGCATAAATACTATATTTTTGATTTTCACTGGAAGGCATATTAAGAGCAAATTCTCTGACCTTTCTACATTGTGCACATTTGTGTTTACATTTCAAAAGCATTTCCAGTAAGCATTTGCATTTTTCTCTACTATGAATTGACCTTATTGATGAAATATTTTTGCGTTGTCGCTAAAAAAAAAGTACTCTCGAGTACAGTACATACTAGCCGATATAAAAATACATATGTAGGTATGCACATAGTATGTATGTATGTATGTATAGTTTTGTTCTGGTTTGCAAAATTTTAGTATGAAAACTACAATTTAAAAAAGAAAAAATTTAATTAATTTCTGAAAATCAATAAAAACAAATTTCCCACAAAGCAATTCTAACAAAGGGTAAAGAATTTTATAGTATTTCTATTCTTTTCAAACATTTAATATTAATATTTCTGGTTATAGGGTTATGGCCATTTTCCCTTTATTTGCTATTTACTTTTCAACAATAAAATGTACTGAATAGTGACACTGGTCAATGTGATTTTGGTACCAAGCAGAATTGCTAGGAATCGAGAGGGCCTAAAAAGCATTAGAGAGACACTGTGAAGGAGTAAGAACATTCCCTCAGATAGCCAATTGGCATTTCTGGCAATTGCCTCACCGGTAACAAAATCTAAAATACCAAGATGAAGATTACAAATGCGCGTTAAGCTGGACGGCCAAGTCAATAGACATCTCTATCATCTTGGTTCCCGGCCAAAGGAACATACCCGGAAATGAGATGGCTGATGAGTTGGCTTAGCCCGGAGCATAGGCTGATGAATCCGAAATATAGACAATAATTTTTCCACTCGGACTCATTGAAAAGGAAGTTGCTTTTGCAATTTGCACGTTTATCTGATACATATTCGAAGAACCTTTAAATCTGCAAAACTGCGGTGAGTATATTTTTTACCTGGGTGTGCGTACCTAAATATTTTGGTTAAAACTGGGCACAAAGCAAAGAAAAATCAATTTCGTAGCAATACTATTTTTTTAGTGAAATAAAATTGATACAAAAACTGCAACACAATTGCGCTTCAAATTAAAAATGCTTTTAAACCAAATATGTACCAGCTATTACAGTACAGCGTAGAATTCACACCTACGTATAAATGCTTGTATGCTTATTTAAGGCATTGGCTTGCCACACAGGCTGTGAAAGCAACATGCGTGTAGTAAAATATCTTTTTATTACTAAATATTGACTGTACATGCCCAACAAAATATAATTTGCCAAATGGAACATACATGCGTACATATGTATGTACATTAGACTGAATCACCAAAAAAAGTTGCAGTTTTTCCGCCGGGATTACAAAATTTACTATTTCCGCCAAAATATTTCGGAAAAATATTAAAATTTACGTGACCTGGACCGATTTGAAAATACCTACAAAAATGGAGTGTTCTATTAATAAAAATAGTTTCTTAAAGAACTTTTTGAAAAAAACCCCTTAAAAAATCTTTTCAACGGAATCGTAATAATGGCTTTTTTGATGCTGTTTTTTTAATTTTTTGTTTCAAAGATTGATTTACGAACAATTTTAATAACTGGGCTAAAACTATTCTGATTTAGACTTATGGGATCTCTGTGGAAAAAGGCGTTCGTGTCCCAATCTTAATTAAATTTGGAATGACGCTCGTTCATCCTACCTTTCTCTTTCACCCTTTTTTTTTATGTAAATTTTTTAAGCTTAAACCGTTTTGTCATTCGAAGAGATTTTTTTTTTCAAAAAAGTCTCTAAGAAACTATTTTTATTCAGAAAAAATTCCAATTTTGGAGGCATTTTCAAATTGGTCACACTCACGTAAATCTTAATATTTTTCCGATATATTTTGGTGGACGTCTTAAAATATAATAGATTTTATAATTCCAATGGAAAGACAGTACCGATTTTTATACCCGAGCGCACTTGTGCACAAGGGTATTATAACTTTGT